TACTTCCTGTTTTGGGAGCTGGTGGCTTTACCAAGGAAGATGAATGAAGTAATTCTGGATGTTGAGGGGGCACATTTGTGTTAACTATATTTTTCTTTGTCTCATTTAATACAAATGATTCTTCTGACTTGGCTTTTGGGCATACTTCTTTCTCATCTTCCAAGTTTTTCTTCTGGGATTTTTTTTTAGAAGGGTCTTTTCCCTAGAAAATAATATTTTCATGTTCTGAAAAAGACCTTTACTGGCTTATTATGCTAGTGCTATTTAATTATAATTTTGAGCACTACAAGGCCAAGCAATTTAGTTAACCAAAAAAAAGTTCTAAGTACATACACCTTAAAGTGTTTTCGAAAAAACATTAATCCCATTCAATATACGACAGAAACATTTGAGATCATTCAAAAGACTAGTATATTGGGAGGCCAAGGCGGGCAGATCACCTGAGGTCAGGAGTTCAAGACCAGCCTGGCTAACATGGTGAAACCCCCATCCCTACTAAAAATACAAGAATTAGCCGGGCGTGGTGGCAGGCGCCTGTAATCCCAGCTACTCAGGAGGCTGAGGCAAGAGAATGGCTTGAACCTGGGAGGCAGAGGTTGCAGTGAGCTGAGATCGTGCCACTGCACTCCAGCCAGGGTGAGAGAATGAGACCTTGTCTCACACACACAAAAAAGAAAGTATAAAAAATAAAACTCATGAACTTGTGTTAATAACTTAATAATGTATATCTCTTGCTTCTCTTAAGCTGTGCTTCATGACTTCAATTTTTTAAAAATTATCACTTTTAGTAAAAGCACAAGTTAGTGCTCCCTTTTTTCCAAGTATCTGCTTACCCAAGTTATAGTTCCCTCCTACTCTCCCACCTGATCACCTGCCACCCTGCAATCTGCCACTCTGCTCAGCATTACCCCTCTCCCATACTGCAATACCTGATTGTCTTCAGGCAAAGAAAATATTGTTGGAACTGCAGTTTGTTTTAAATATCGAATACCCCATCTGATGTCAAGAGAGTCAGGAGTAAAATGGTCACTACATAGAAACTGGTATTTACTGGGAACCCATGAATCTCGCTTCATATTCTTTAACCACTTTTCCAGTCTTTCTTTGTCATGTAGAGGAAATCTGGAATTTAAAAAAAAAAAAAGAAGAAAAAAAGGAAAACTTTGCTATATTTTTACAACTTTGCCAAATTCCAACCCCATATATCTGGGTAACCTATGCATCAAGTAAGTGCTACAAGAGGAAGGCAACCATCCCTACCAAATAAGAGTATCTTCATCACAACTAGTACCATTATCATCTCTGCAGTAAGAGTCCTAAGGTGTAAGACATGTAGCCAAGGCTCTTATCTGATAAGAGCTGAACATAATTCAGAGTCCCTTCAAATAAAATATATGTGTTCCTATAAAGGACAAAATCTATTTGTATTTTCTATGGATTATGTTCCATTTTTATATTGCTGTACAGTTTGCCTAGAACTAGAAAAGAGCTTTGTATAAATTATAAATTCCTGTTCAAATGTATTTCATAATACCACCTCAAGTCAAATGGCTTGTTGTCTACAATTCAAGGCAGCATTAAGCTTTACAATTTATGTTAATATTTAAAAAATAAGTAGATTGTTCAAACAAATGATTTCAAACAAATGATTCAGCTGAAAGAGTACTGAAAATATTCTCTTTACTAGCATCAGCTTTAATTCTATCTATATGTAATCCAGTCTAATAGTACTACACTTCTATAACTAATGAACTGGGAACTCCAAAATTCAAGTTCTGAAGGAGAAACTCTGATACAAGAATGAAACATGTTAAAAGGGACAGTCTGAGATATTTTACATAAAACAAATCAAATACAAATGGCAAGACAGCGCTGTATACATTTTGTTCCTGTACCTGACAATAACCTGGATTTAGAGTTGGTGCTAACATTACAATGTATGGCAGAATTTGATAGAAAATTTTTCCTATCAATCTAAAAAGGTTTGGGTCAAAGTATACAAAACAATATTTGAAAATGGTTTATATTTCATTTGATAATTTTCCAAGAACACAGTCCAAGACACCACATAATTTCCTGTTTATAAGAATAGTAATAATATAAGGTTTCTCATATAAAATGTAGCTGTTATACATTCCCTTCCCCCAATCCCAAACATTTAGCTTATGTTTTGTAGTAGCATCATTTTTTTCCCCCCTTAAATTCTGTTAACTTTTTAAGATGCCACGGAAAATCTGGGTACTCTTTTTTTTTAATCCTGATATCCTCATATGGAAAAAATCAGATAAACTACCTTTGGAAATTCTAACCACAGAAACAATATTAATCATGTTTTAAAAATACTTTAACTTTACAAATATTAGGTTGTAAGTATGACAAGTATAACCAGAAAAGGAATTTTAAAGGCAAACAAATTTTCTTTTAGAGGACCTGACTACTTCTGGCCATTGGTAAATTCATTTCTCTTGTCACAACTGAAATGATATAGGCCTTTTACAATAATGCTTTTTACTGTAAATTCATGTACATGGATGCTGTTTGCACATTATTTCCATTGTACCTATATGCTAAGTTATCAACTCATTTAAAAAATACTGTGTGAATATCCTTATTGGTAACTGGATTGTATTGCTTCCTGAACAGGTAAATCTTTAAGAAATCTTGATCATGTTTCCTGAATAAATTATATCTTTATATTGGTTCAATTCATTTGATAATTTTGTTTCATTGTCTTATGTAATTCCCCAAAAAGCATAAGATAATCACAGTACAGACTGGACACTATATTAACCGAATTCCCAAATTCATATATATTTAAACTACAGTTTGCTGTAGTGTTAACATGAGTAAATTCAATTCAAGTTTGGCGCTACTGGAGAATAAAACTAAATTTTTATTTTGTGGATTACACACAAAATTTTTTTTTTTAAATCCTAGAAATAATACCACTTTTACCAAATTCGCACTTTCAGTGAAAAAAAATCTTTACAATTCACTTGCATTATTTTTTCCTTCCTAAAAAGTTACTGTAAGGTCCACAAAGGTTAGTTAAAAATTTTAGTGTGGAGTTACACCCCATCTCCAATATCAAAGGCCAAATAAATCTGGGAAATACGAGGTTAAATCAAGTTCAACATGATCTTTTGCTACAAACATTCTCAGAGGTAGAGCCATTAGTACAGTAATATTTTCCTATAAACTGAAAGTGGATTAGATTGTTTTCCTCCCCCAAACATCTCTTTGCATCTTGAGGCAGGGCTTCAAGGCAGACAATCCTGGAAATATTGCCATGGATTGTGAATTACTCGGGGTTATCAGTTTTGTTTTCGAGTCGGAGTTTCGCTCTTGTCGCCCAGGCTGTGGTGCAATGGTGCGATCTCGGCTCACCTCAACCTCCACCTCCCGGTTCAAGTGATTCTCCCGCCTCAGCCTTCCGAGTAGCTGAGATCACAGACATGCACCACCACGCCCGGCTAATTTTGTATTTTTAGTAGAGAAGGGGTTTCTCCATGTTGGTCAGGCTGGTCTCGAACTCCCGACCTCAGGTGATCTGCCCGCCTCGGCCTCCCAAAGTACTGGGATTATAGGCGTGAGCCACGGCGCCTGGTGGGGTTATCAGTTTTTTTTTCCCCCCATTAATTAAAATACTGAAAAGCAGTTGAATCATTAATGAATAAGTCCTTCAGGTCTAAAGTAAAATGGGCACAAAACAACGGCTGAAAATCTGAACCAGGTTAGATCTAAACGAATTGTCTTCAAATACAAGAAAAAATGGAAATGCAGTATTTTAAATATGTTGCTTTTCATGTGTTATTAATCATGTAAGCACTTTTAACATCTCCGCGTTATAGATGAGATATGTGAGACACCAAAGCTTAATTTCCAAGAGGTCATTAAGTTACAAAGTAGTGGAACCAGGATCTAGCATTGAAGCCTGGACCCCTACTTATTATACGACACTGCTTTTCTGTACTTCTGAATACAAATCAGTGCTTCAATAGTTTCATGGAAATATATTGTGGCTCTAGTAATTCTGAATAACAGAATAAAACCTTGCTCTCTGCAGAGTATCTACAATGGCTCTCACACTAAACTTTCAAGGTCGGTTACCTAATCATTCTGGGCCTCGGTTTTCTCAGGAGAAAAGTGGGATGAAATTATACCTATGGGACCTAACTCGCAGGGGGTGTAAGTTAACTTTGCGTGCACCTTTCCACCGCGCAGGTTTCACGTATCTTAAAATGGTGGTTAATGTTGTTCAATGAAATGAGATCACCAGAGGTGGGGAAAAGACTCTGAAAACCACAGAAGCCCGCGCAAACTTTGCTGTTTTAACTGTTAACACCCAAACAGGCTCCTGGGCCTCGCCACCAGCCCGCAGTCCTCGCGCAGGAAGGGCATTGCTAGGTAAACTGAACTAGCGCCTTCCCCGCGTCTTCCCGCGGGCGACGGGCCACGTACGGAGTAGCTGAGGACTCATTGGCAGAGCGGACAGGAGACACCCAAGTCCAAAGGCCACAGGTCCAACGCCTCACGGCGAGGCTGACGCTTCTGCTCCACAGACAACTTACGGATAAAAACTCAGCTTCCGGTCTTTATTGTTTCGTCCCCGGCGGTTCTTACAACAAATCGCTGCGCAATAGCGGGGCATCATTCGGGTGAGGCCCCGGGAAACCCGGGTCGGCGACGGGCGCAGGGCAGCCCTCCTCACTGAGGGTGCGCCACAGATCCAGGCCTCTGGAGCCACTGCGCCTGCGCTGGCATCCGCCGGGAACACCGCCTCGTCTATCGACTCACTTCCGCCTCCGCCGATTTAAGCACCGCCTTTTCGGGGGTTGGGGCCGGAAGTGGCGCACGGCCCCAGCGGCAACAACAGTTTTCCACGTGCGCGTAGGGCGCCGGGGTCACGTGGGGAGGCAGAAGCCAATGGGGAAGCGTTTCGTGTAGGTCTTCTGAGGTGGTGGCGCCAGCGGCTGCCTGCTGCCCGTGAGAAGCTGGCTGAGGGTACTGGGCTCCGGCGACGAGGGAGGAGCGCTAGGTCGGTGTTGGACCGAGATTAGGGCGCGCGCCAGCTCCGGGAGGCCGCGGTGAGGGGCCGGGCCCGAGCAGCCGACCCGAGCCAATCGTCAGGGTTGCCAGCGCCTCTGTGGAGGAGCAGCAGTAGTCGGAGGGTGCAGGTGAGGGACGAGGCCGGGGTCGTGGGGACGGGAGTTCGGAGGGTAGCCCAGACCTGTCTTTGTGAGCTGAATTGGCCTCCGTGTCCGCCACGGTCGCCGCAGGGACAAGGGACTGCATGTTTTTGGCCGAGAGAATAGAAAAACGGAGAGAGCCGCCTCACAGAATCGTGTTTTGGGTTGTGCCGCTGGCTTTCACGGGCGCCGGATTAGAGTCCGGTTCTCAGGCAGCCTCTACGGCGGGGCCTGGGCGGGCAGGGAAGGTGCCTCGCCTTTAGGTGAAGGTTGGACGGTCCAGCCCAGCCGGCCACCGAGGCTGGGGAATAAGGCACGGGCTGCTGGCTGGCGGGGCCGTCTTGGGGATGAGAAGTCTGTGCAATACAAAACTAGTCAGCTCAAAAAAAAAAAAAATCATTAGATGTCCACCTTGAGACCGTGGAATAACGTCTACTGAACCAGTGAGGCGCTTCCCTGTCAGTTTTAGATCCGCCCTTTGACTAGGGAGCAACCTGCAGTTGACGCAGCGTCCATGGGACACATTCTTGTTTATGTTCCTTAAACCGAGAGGTGGTACTTGATCCTTGGTACCCGTGACTACGAGTAACTCTCTGGAAATAAGTAATCTACCTGCCTGCTAATTACTCTTAGGAAAGGCCACTGGAGAGGAAACCAGGCAATTTCCACAAGCCGTAGTATTTCTCGTCAGCCTTGTTATGGCATCATAGGTTACTAAGGACCCTGGTGGTACCGTATTCAAAAAAACAGGGTCCATCCCTTCGTTTTGAATCTCAAGTCATTGAGTACGTATTGTCAAGAATTCTAAGCTAACATTTCTTTAATGGTTTAAAGGTAAGAGAAATATTTTAACTGCTGAGAAGTGTGAAAGTAAGAATCTGCCTTAACCACAGTAGAAACTATCAAAGTTCATTTTTCTGGCAGCTGTAGGAGAAATCTTAAATTCTGTTCATCTTGAGTTTTAAACAATATTTAGCCACGTTTCCTGGTTAAACATTTGGGATCTTAACATTTGGGAAAAACACAACATTCTAGTATTGTCAGTATTAATATTGTGATACTAAGATTCTCTACTTGCAGTCCTTGGCTCACCTGTTGAAATGAAAGCTGAATTTTTAGAGAGAGATTAATACTAATTTACATATGCTGGGCTATTTACCTTGGTGCTCCACCTTTTTTTTTTTTTTTAAATTTTTTTTCTGTGAAGTTAAATACATTATTACGTTCAGGGTATGAATTCTTGAAAGGAAGGTTGGGATCTTATTTGATTTTCTTTTTTTTTTTCTTCAATGCTTGCATTTGATGAGTCTTCAATATAAACTGGTTAAAAATCAGTTATTGAAAATTTTCTATCTCCTTTGTGTGTGGCCAGAGTATTAGTGGACAAAGCCAAGGATTATTTTTGTTCTCAATAAGGTTAAGCCAGTTTGGGAGTTATAAAACTATAAGTGAAATTACATGTGAACAGGTACAAGATACTGTATGCTTAACATTTTGATTCTGCATTAGGTTTACCTTGTGTTGGATTTCTTTTAAAAGAAAAAAGTTTTAAGATTAGCTCCATCCATAACATTTTTTTCTTCTTTTCTGTTTTAGGATATTAGAAATGGCTACTCCCCAGTCACTTTTCATCTTTGCAATCTGCATTTTAATGATAACAGAATTAATTCTGGCCTCAAAAAGCTACTATGATATCTTAGGTGTGCCAAAATCGGCATCAGAGCGCCAAATCAAGAAGGCCTTTCACAAGTTGGCCATGAAGTACCACCCTGACAAAAATAAGAGCCCGGATGCTGAAGCAAAATTCAGAGAGATTGCAGAAGGTAAATAAATGCCAATCTCTGAAGTGTCATGACTATTAACTAGTAAGGAGAATGATAGGTGGAGTGGGATTTATGTATAGATATTGCGTGATTCCCTGAGATGATTTTCTTATTACAGATGCTTTGATTCCTGAATAAATACATGAAAGGATAATAGATAATTTTATTGGTATACATATCTAAACATATTGAAAATTTATTATTCTATGTTATTTATAAGATCACTGTTGTTTCTATGACAAAAAGAATTTTAGGTACCCCAAATTCTTATCAACTAACTTATGAAACAGAATATTTTACCATTTTAAACATTAAATACTTAAAAATTAAACTAGACTCTAAAGTGCTTTATTCACTTGATCTGCGTTTCAAAGCCATATTTGTCTTTAAAAAAAATTGAAACAAATTTTGATTTCGGACTAGCTGTAAAACAAATTGCACCTGCTGAGCATTCAGTAATTGTTGGGTGAAGGTAACCGAGCAGGGAGTTAGAATTAAACATTTACTTAAGCAAGGAGGTGCAAAATCTTAATTCCTATTAATTGGTTATAGTTGATGGTTTAATTTTTTAATACAATTAATGATTTCACACAAATATGAAGCTTAAAGAACTCTGTAATTGTTGCCCACGTGTTTATTTGTAGTAATGGTAGCATTTAATAACTATTTATTGAGTATTATAGATGGCATTGTGCCAACTGCTGATAATACAGCAGTTAATAAGACAGTTTCTACCTTGTTTTATAAGTTTGATTAACTTGATGCTTTTATTTGTAGTGTTTTGCTTTTATTTCTGATGTGAAATTCTTCCCTAAAATAATAATATTCAGTTCACTTACTTGAAGAGATTTGAATGTATGTAGTTTTGAAGATTTTATCTTCAGTTACTAAAAATATTTTTATCTCTTTCAGCATATGAAACACTCTCAGATGCTAATAGACGAAAAGAGTATGATACACTTGGACACACTGCTTTTACTAATGGTAAAGGACAAAGAGGTAGTGGAAGTTCTTTTGAGCAGCCATTTAACTTCAATTTTGATGACTTGTTTAAAGACTTTGGCTTTTTTGGTCAAAACCAAAACACTCGATCCAAGAAGCATTTTGAAAATCATTTCCAGACACGCCAGGATGGTTCCAGTAGACAAAGGCATCATTTCCAAGAGTTTTCTTTTGGAGCTGGGTTATTTGATGACATGTTTGAAGATATGGAGAAAATGTTTTCTTTTAGTGGTTTTGACTCTACCAATCGGCATACAGTACAGACTGAAAATAGATTTCATGGATCTAGCAAGCACTGCAGGACTGTCACTCAACGAAGAGGAAATATGGTTACCACATACACTGACTGTTCAGGACAGTAGTTCTTTTTCTGTTCTCACTAAATCCAACTAGTTGACTCTTCCTCATTATCTTTGATGCTAAACAATTTTCTGTGAACTATTTTGACAAGTGCATGATTTCACTTTAAACAATTTGATATAGCTATTAAATATATTTAAGGTTTTTTTTTTTTTGACAAATTCAGCAACATTCAACTAGTAGACAAAATGCTAATTATTTCCCTGATTAGGAAAGTTTCTTTAAAAAACACATTATTTTGCCTAGTTCTTTTTCTCTGCCTGCCCTTGGGCTCACTAATGTCACCAGTTTCATTACCAAGAAAAGATTGAGTTTACCTGATTAAACTTTAAAAGTTATTGTAGATTTAAGTTGTGTGAACCTAATGATTTTTGCAGTTAAACCTTTACTAATTGAAAGTTGCATGTTCTGTAACATCTGTGACTTGGGTTGCAGAATGTACATGAAACTGTATAATTGAGTCATTCAGCAAAGGAGAACAGTATCTTGGTTAATTGCTACTGAAAGGTTGAGAAAGGGATGGTTTCATATTTACCACAGCACTCGGCCTTTCTACAGTAGAACTGGGGTAAAGGAAATGGTTTTATTGCCCATAGTCATTTAGGCTGGAAAAGAGTTGAAAACTTATGAAATATTGCCAAGAGATTGTCATGTGTTTGGTCCCAGGCTAAAAGTGATTTTGTAGTGTTGAAATCATAGCTACTTATATATCTTTTCACATTTCTTTCTTAGTTGTAGGCACTCTTAGGTCTTAATACGGATTTATGTGTTTGTGTGTGTAGTTTCTCCTCTTGCTACTCATCTTTATCTAGAGATTGACTAATACCTCATTCTGTTTGTAAAACCAGCCAGTAATTTCTGTGCAACCTTATTATGTGCAATATTTTTAAATCGTGAGAAATGTGTGCTTTTGTTTTCAGATAGACTTATTTCTTTAGTTCTGCACTTTTCCATATTATACTCCATATGAGTATTAATCCTATGGATACATATTAAAACAAATGTCTCATACAACATTGTTTGTGAGAGAAATATAAATATTTACAACCTGATATTCATTGTTTTATTGTTTAACGTTTATTATGCAACTCTGGAGGTATAGAGGGCATATAAGCTATGGGACATATGCTGATCGCAGGCTATATTCATGAAGTTACTTTTGACTAATCTGAAAACTCTGATAGGATTTTGTTTGTCATTTGGTAATTTCTACTGCATTCTTCTGTCACAAGTTTTGATAGCTTGAAGATATTTTTAATTATAATTTTGTTGTGTTTGTTTGCTAGGAGCAAGCGTTCCTGCTCCCAGTTCTTTCTTCTTTAGGCCTGGTTGAGAGAAAGCAGAAACTTCACATAAAGCCGTATTTCTTAATCATCTTTAATTTGAAACTTAAGAAAATGAAGTTATTCTGTTATATTTATGTAACTTATTTCCTGGAAGTTATATCTACTAGTTTTGTTTGATAATAAAATTAGCGATACCTTGAATTTTGGGCTGAGGATTATCTGTAGCCTATTAAAAAAAAATCAAGTTTTGAGACATTACAGTAATATATAAAGCAGAAGAGTGTGGATTGGGAAATAAATGAGAAAAACCACAATCAGGATGTCCTGGAGAAGCTTTAAGGATTGGATTTGGGTGAGGTTGTAGAATTCATTCATACTAAATTTATTGGAGAACTGCATTGGAAAGCTCTGCTGTTTGCTGCTTCCTCCAGGTAAACAGTTGTTAACAAAAGTAACTTTTTCCTCAGGCAAGGGACTAAACAAGTCTTGAAAGAAAGGGGTTATTTGGGGGAAGACTTCCCAGTTGAGAGTATTAGGGTGTGAGGTGAAGGCAGAGTAGAGGTGAAGTGAATTTTCACTTGAAGGTCAAGAGGGTGCTGGTGAGAAATGGCAGCACTCCCAGAGTAAAGCCTCCTTGTGTTGGCTTGGTGGGAAACAACTCTGTATGCAGACCACATACTCACCTGTGGGTACCTGCTGGTTAAAAAACCCTGACAATTTAGCTGGGTGTGATGGCATGCACCTGTAGTCTCAGCTACTCTGGAAGCTGAGGTGGGAGGATCACTTGAGCTCAGGAGTTTAAGGCTGCAGTGAGCTATGATTGGCCACTGCCTGGCAATTTACTGAGAACCATCGCTCCTATTCAAAAGAGGTTTAATACAGACACATAACTGCTGAAGAAACTGCTTTTCTCAGCTATCTGTGCAATTTGATCTAATCCTTCATAAATATACTGATGTCCAAAGAATGTCAGACATTTAAGGAAAACTGACAGCTAGGAAAAGAAGCCCTAATGAGTAGCACTGACAATATAATTCAGAGATTGAAAGAATTTAAGATTCTAGTATCAGATTTTTTAAATAGAATATTGCATCAACAAATACAGTTCTTGTCTTAACCTGTTTACTTCAGGATTTCTTTAATGATGGTGTCAGAACAGATGAAGTAATGTGAACTCACATTTGGTTTACAATTACATCTAATAGTCAAAGCCAATGGGTGGTAACAGATGTGTGGTACAGGTGTTCCCTACTATGCAGGCCTACTTTGTCCTGTGAAATTCATATTCTTCCTCATATCTCAACTTTGTTACTCAACTTCCTCACAAACTTCTCTCCAGAGGTTGCCCTAATGTGGAGCTACCTAAATAATTTATTGTGCAGTTCTGTTTACTGTTATTCATTATGATACACCATAAATGGTGAGCAGGACGGTGGGGGTGATTGCATTCTTGTGGAAAAAGACAAGCAATAACCATATGAATAAATTATAAACTGATAAAGTATGGAGAAAGAAAATGTAGTACAGGAGAGGAGAATTGGGAGAGCAGGCAGGTTGAGGATGTGTTGCCATTTTTGACAGGATTGTCAGTGTTGGCCTCATTGAGAAGGTAAATTTGAGCAGAGACTTGAAGGGAATTGTTTGTACAGAAGGTGGAAGCGTATGTGGGAAGTTGTAGGAATGGCAAAGAAGTGAGCATAACTGGAGGCCAGTGAGCAAACCAGAGTAGTAGAAGATGAATTCATAAAGGTAAGAGGGGTTGAAAGCAGATCACCTAGGGCCTTGCCAACCTTTGTAAAGGATTTGACTTTGGAATAATGGCTGAGCTTGGAGCAGATAAATGACTTGATCTTTAAATCATTTTAAAAGGGTCACTCCACCTGCTTTATTCAGAATAGACATAGAGGGGCAATGGTGAAATAGGGAGACAGTTGGGAGGCTATTTCAGTATACTAGGATGAAAAATTGTTGCAGCTTGTGTATTGCATGAGGGTGGCAGCAGTGGAAGTGGTTGGATTCCAGATGTATTCTGCAAGTAGAGCTACCAGGATTTGCTTATGGATTAGATAAGCAAAAGTAGGTGTAAAAGACAGAGGAGAAAACTATGATTCTAAGCTTCATGTTCTGAGTAACTGGAAATACAGAGTTGCCTTTAAGATGGGAGAGGCTGCAGAAAGAAGACATTTAGGAGGAAAAATCAGAAGTTCAGCTTAGATATACCAAATTTGAGATGATGAGTAAATGGGTGGAGATGTGTCTGAAGTTTGGGAGAGAGAGTGAAGCTGGAAATACACATTTTGGGACTGTCAAAATATGTGATATTTAAAACTTTGAGAGTAGGTGAAATTACTGAGGGAAAGTGTAGACATATAAAAAGCAATTGAATAACTGAGTCCCCCGGTACTCTAAAAATGCAAAAAGAAAATGAGGAGCCTACAAAGGCATCTGAGAAGCAGCAGCCAGTGAGTAATGAGTTTTGTGTCTTGGAAGGAATTGAAATAAATATATCAAGAAGTACAAAGCGGCCAGGCATGGTGGCTCACGCCTGTAAACCTAGCACTTTGGGAGGCCAAGGCAGGTGGATTGCTTGAGGTCAGGAGTTTGAGACCAGCCTGACCAACATGATGAAACCCTGTCTCTACTAAAAATACAAAAATTAGCCAAGTGTGGTGGCAGGTTCCTGTATTCCCAGCTACTTAAGAGGCTGAGGCAGGAGAATCACCTGCATCCAGGAGGTGGAGGTTGCGGTGAGCTGAGATCATGCCACTGCACTCCAGCCTGGATGACAAAGCGAGACTCTGTGTCAAGGAAAAAAAAAAAGAAAAAAAGAAGTAGAAAGTGATCAGCCTTGTAAAATGCTGCCACTAAGTCCAGTAAGATGGTGACTGAGAACTAACCATTGTTGTTTTTAGCAATACTGATATCAAAAATGACCTGAATGCCAATTTCTGTCAAGTTGTAGGAGTTATCCTGATTGGAGCAGGTTTAAAACAGAATAGCACAAGATTAAGTGCTCTTAAATTATTTGAAAAAGAAAACATTTCTGGACCGAATTTTTATCATGGACTTTTTAGTAGAGTATCGGCTATGATTCAATCCATGTAGCAACAGCTTATTCTTCAGAATGATGTTCTATAGGAGTAAGAAGTATGCTATGAAAAAAAAAATCATGTTTAAATAGATTTGTGAAATCTGGGTTGGGATTCAAACCTTGTTAAATATGTTTCTTTTTAGGTGAGTGCTAGGGTCTGAATGGTTATGTCCTCCCCATATTCATATAGTATTAGGAGATAGGGCGATTATAGTATTAGGAGATAGGGCGATAGAGTGATGGTCAGGGGGCAGAATTCTCATGAATGGGATTAGTGCCCTTGTAAAAAGGGCCCAAGGGAGATCACTCATTTTTTCTACCATGTGAGGTTAGAGAAGATCTATGAGGAAGAGGGCTGTCACCAAACAGTCAATCTGCTAGTGCCTTCATCTTAGACTTCTCAGCCCCTAGAACTGTGAGAAATAAATTTCTGTTTTTTATAAGCCACACAGTCTGTGGCATCTTGTCATGAGTCTGAACAGACTGAGACAGTGAGCTGCTCAGAATTCTCAACATACTAATCTATGTTGTGAATCTTTGGTAGAGATATCAAATATTGTTTGCTCAATTTATTGGACCATGGAAACATTTTTACTAAGTACCCTTAACCATATCCAAGTGTGCCACAGTAAAAGCTTGGTAAATACTGGCCTAAATAAAAGTGAAAAAAAAAATCATATCATAATAAACCTTTGGAACATGTGCATGAACACATACCAAAGCAAGGATGATAGCATATGTTATGTTGGCACTTGTATTGCATTATAAAAAAAAAAAGTATTTGAATTTACTATGATTGA